GAGGGAGGGAGTTGTGGGAAGAATTTTATGAGTTTCCAAAACAACACATGGGAATTAGGAAAGATGTCGTGAAATCCAATTTAATTTGAATTTCAAATAGACTTGAATTTATGCACTTTCCTAATTAAGATTTTCAAATAAGGAAAGTTTTTGAAATTTGAATTTCAAATTTCAAATTGAGGTAATTACTTTCCTTTTCTCTTGGAGCTCATTTAGGAAGGGAGTTATGATGATTGAAATCGTCATAATGGAAGAGTTCAATGGGTGGGCCGGCGGTGGAGCTTGAAGAAAGGGTTTCGGCCGGCGGTTATGCGGTCTTAGCTGGTGGTGGGGATGGGTAATGGTTCAGCGTCAAAGGATTTGAGGATGGCGTGAAGGTGGCCGGTGGGTTGGGTAGAGAGGTATGTGGCCGACGGCTTGGGTGGAACCAATGAGGAAGGGTCGGTTTCGGGTGGTAGGGGAGAGAGAGATGTGGAGAGGCCGGTGGTTTTGAGGTGGTGGCTAGTTAGGGAAAATGAAGGGTGGTGGTGGGGGAGTAAGCCGACGGTGGTAGGGGAAGAGGGAGTGTTGGAAGGGGTAAGAGATAAAAGAACTAAAGCCGCGAACCTTGGAATCCACCAAAGGTTGACGAGTATTGCGTGATCCCTCGCCTAGCGTCTCTTCTCTCAAGAACTCACAAAGAGATCTAAAACAAAGAGCTGAAATTTTTCTTTCAATAATCATTCATCATCCTTTTACAAAGCATAAGACCACTGTATATAGGCCTCCAACATAAATAAAAGCAAAGTACACAAATGCCCTTAAGGCTACAAAAAGAAAACACTCCCCACAGGGGTAAATTCGGAAAAAAAAATAAATCACATCAAAAGTAAAGACTCTGAATCGCAACCGTCGATCTACGATCTCTTCGCCAGTACACGTGTCGGAATCTCTGAGCGATTTCTTCATCACACGGTTTCTTTATTTATCGCCCTAAAGTCCACGTAAAATCTTCAACTCCTATTCTTTTTCTTAACCAATAGCACTGGGCTAGAAAAAAAACTCACACTGGCTTGATAATCTCTGCTTCCTGCATCTCTTTAATAAACTTCTCAATTTCATCCTTCTGAAATTAAGGATAGTGGTAGGGCCTGACGCTAATGGGTGACACACCTTTCCTCAAGGTAATAGTGTTCTCTTTCTCCCTTGGCGGTTACAATCCCTAGGTGTCTGAAAAACCTCACCGAACTGCTGAATCAATGGTTGTACTGAAGGACTGTCCCCACCCTCCAATCTGATCCCCTCCAGCTTATATAGCTCCATCAGATAACCTTCGCCAACCTCCTGTATGCTCCTCACCATGGTTTTAAGTGATACCATGACTTTAAAGATCCCTACATCTCCCCTGTTCACTACCCTTCTCCCTTCCACCATCAGCTCCATCATCAATGCTCCCTAGTTGGCCTTGGTTTCCCCTAAGGTCTACAACTACTTCATCCTTATGATGACATAAATGCTCCTTAACTCCAATGGGAAAAAAAATTCTCCCTCACCTGAACCCCCTATATGATCAACACTACTCCTCGGCATATCCCTTACCCCATCTCCACCTTCACTGTATCCATCATCACTCGATAACACTCAGTATCCACAAATGTCACGCCCAATCAATCCACGACATGTTCGGAGATGAATTTGTGAGTAGCCCCGTTGTCAATCAACACCACCACCTCCTTGTCCACTATTTCCCCCTTCACCTTCATGGTATGACTCTGAATGAATCCTGCCACTGAGTTCAGGAAGACCTCTACCACATCCAAATGCAGCTTGTATTCCTCCTCTCTCCATGTCTCACTCTCACTTCCCTCAGTTTTTTCATCATCACAAACGGTGAGAACCTGAAGAGTTCAATCCCTGCACATGTGCCCTAGAATATACTTCTCATCATATCTAAAGCATAGCCCATTCACCCTCTTCTCCTTCATCTCCCTCTCCATCAGTCTTTGGAAGTTCCCCCCACTTCCTCCTTCTGGCTTCTCCCTTGGAGTCTCCCGAATGTTGCCCGATGCAGGCCCCTAGGGTGCTAAGAAAGTGTTAGTCATCCTATAAGAGCCTCCTAAAATGTTGTCTTTGGCTCCCCTTTCCTGGTACTTCTAATCCTCCACCAGTTGTGCCAGATCCATAGTCTCTCCCAAGTCACAAGGCCTCGTGACCCTTATTATTGCCCGGATCTCTGATTTGAGTTCCTTCATGAAATTTCTCTCCAAAACAGTCTCCAATAGTCGATCTAATCAACTCGCTAGGCACTCAAATCTCTCGTAATTATCTTCCACTAAGTCTTCATGTTCTAGTACAAAGAACTTCTCATAGAAGTCTGTTGAAACTTGTTAATTATGAATTAGGTTGTTATACCTAAGCTTATGTCCCAACGACTAACCAAGAGGGGGGGTGAATTGGTAATTTAAAAAATTTCTTCTTTTAAACCGATTAAATTTTTAGTGAAATTTTTAAAATGATTTTTCAACCACAGATAAACAAAAACAGTAAAGTAAAAAAAGCAGCGAAAAATAAAAAGACACAAGATTTATAGTGGTTCGGTCAAACATGACCTACATCTACTCTCTGAAGTCTCCCACTTTAGGTATTGCACTTTTATCACAAGTGTCTCTCATTTTGCCTCCACAGCAAGGCGTAGAAGCCTTCACAAAAACTCTCTTCCACCACTACCCGGTGCGGCAGAGAACCGTCATCCTTTTACACGATCCAAGTGTAGGCAGAGAACCGTCGGTTGTTCACACTCTCCAAATGTAGGCAGAGAACTTTCGTCCTTTTACACTCTCCAAGTGTAAGCAGAGAACCTTCGTCCTTTCACACTCTCTAAGTGTAGGTAGAGAACCATCGGATGTTCACACTCTTCAAGTGTAGGCAGAGAACCTTCGTCCTTTTACACTCTCCAAGTGTAAGCAAAGAACCTTTGTCCTTTCACACTCTCCAAGTGTAGGCAGAGAACCCTTCGGCTGTTCACACTCCTCGAGTGTCGGCAGAGAACCGCATCTTCTTGAAATATCTTCTCACGAGAAATCTGGAAAGACAAGAGAAAAGAGTGAAGTAATTACAAATCACAAACGGAGATCCTTACCTTTGAGTAACCAAGTGAACCCTTCACACTCCAGTAGTAAGAACTCTCCTTCAAACAGTCTCTCTCACTCTCTCCTTCAATCTCCCTTCAGTATGCACGAAGATCAAAAGACAAAAAGATTGCATGGCAGTCTTAATTGGATCTTTTATAAGAAACACACGAAAAACCATCCAAAAACTGCATTTTTCAATTTCTGACCAACCAAGATCGTCCCGTATGATCCAGTTTCGTACATACAAACAGTGTAAAAACTGTTGTATACGAACTTAATGTGAACTGATATGAACAGCCTTCATACCCGATCATCATCCCGTACAAACATGGTTCGTCCGATACAAACGATTTTTCTCAAAGTTCGTTGGTACGAAAAAGAAGGACGAATATTAAGTTTCCAGAACAGAGAACCTCGTCCTGGGACGAACCATAACTATTGTCTGGACGAATAGTGCGTTTTGGCCAATTCAGTGCCCATCGTCCTGGGACGAACTATAATTATCGTCTGAACGATCCCATACAGAGAGCACCGTCTTGGGACACACGATAAATATCGTTCAAACGAACGTGTCCAGAGCCCATCGTCCTGGGACGAATGTTAATTATCGTTTGGATGAACTCATCCAGAGAGCACCGTCCTGGGACGCACGATAAATATTGTTCGAACGAACGCGTCCGGAGCCCATCGTCCTGAAACGAATGTTAATTATCGTCTGGACGAACATTACTTGGAAAAAATTTTGTCCCTCTTTGTTCGTTCATTCGGGAGTTTTAACTTACCAGATCGTCCCGTACGAACATGGTTCGTACAGTACGATCAAATTTAAAAAATATTAATTTTTAACTCTCCCCCGGTGTGTGTGTGTTAAGTTACTCAATTACAATCACACTCTCTTAGACTCAAATAAAGAGAAAAATTACAGACTCCAAAATTACAAAACATTGTAAGCAGATCTTGGTTTGAAGTTTTCAACAATCTGGAGTATGATTTCCCTGAAACGTTAGTACACATAAGAGCCGAAAACAATTCTTCAAAAAATGTGTTAGGAGAAATTAATAATCAAAACAATAATATTTGATATCATCAAAACATACAAGTTGCAATAATGTAAAACATGCAAAGCAAGTAGCAACTCTCTCAACAAACTCCCCTCCCTGACGGTTCGAAAACATTCCAATAAGCATTCCTCTTGTGATTGCTAAGTGTGGAGTTAAAATTTCTAATCAGAGGCGCCGCACAAACTAAGCCAATCCTTAGAAATTAAGACTCCAAAATAGGAGATTTCTAAGTGTGGAGTTAAAATTTCTAATTATAGTGTCTCTCTTCAACAACCACCATGTCCTAAATGGAGATTTTCACAAAAGCATAAATAAATTATCTGATAAAAGACTTAAATGGAAGCTATTACAAAAAGTCTATCATGGAGACTATAAACTCTTCAAAAATGGTTGATTATTAATGTTTGAATGATAACTTTTCATTTATAAAAATATTTAATCCTTATAAGATATCCTTCCTACAATCACATGCAAATAAAGAGAATGAGAGATGAGGAAGAGAGTAGGATGGAAGAAAATTATAAGTATTATCTATATTTTATTCTACACATTAGCCATCATCTTCGCAACAGATGCTTGTATTATCTCTCAGTCGATCATTTAGCTATCTTTGTCTTTATATATATGGAAGGCAATATTTTTTTGTATACCTCTTTTGAAGCTTAATAAATATTTGATTGTTATGTGGCCGAAGATGTCGGTGAACCTTTCCAAATGATGTAAATTTATGTGTCTTGTGCTTTAAATTTTTTGCATGATTATTCTCTCATTCTCATTAAATTTTTGCTTAAGATTTTTATTATTATCCCTGCATGAAATGTTGTTTCAGGAAGTCATGGAGTGTTTGAGACGTTATATCAATCGTAGGGATGCATTGGAGTCTGTTAATTATTAAAGGATAAATGGTGCATAGCTCGGATTTCCTCTTGCGATTTTGCTTTCCTCTGCTTAGATTTTAATCTTTCTGTGGATTTGGAGCTTTTAACAAACTGTTTGGTCATGAATAAAAAGCTACCATATGCTTTTGGTTTCGGTTTTCAGAATTTATGTACGTTGCATGAACTGCAGAATGCTACATTAATCTCTAATAAAATTATCTCTGCTGGCTTTAAAGCGCAACAGTCGAATCATCCCATGATATCAATTTTGCAGAATTTATGAGATGTAAAGTTAGAAGATTTCAGTGTGAAATCTCTAATTTGAATGATATCTATTTTGCAGATGATTATGTGCGTAGTCCGGACACAGAGAAATCGTTCGGTTTTGTGGCTGTGAACAATAAAAGTACAGCAAAATCACAGTAATTGTTCACCACTGCGCTTTTATTGTTCACTATTGCATTTTTAGTATGCTTTTACTGTTCACAATTATAAACTGAACGATTCTCTATGTTCGAATTTCGCACGTAATAATCCCTCTCCTCTAAGAGTTATTCTTTGAAGTACACATCTAGAGAAGGAGAGGGTTCATGTTCATCAAGTTGGAATGAACAGCCTCATATTCTAGATGAAGTTTTTATCAATAATTTATCTCTTTTACTTGTAGACCTCTTGAATGACCAAATGAGATTGAAAAGGTACTTTAGTGTAAATTATCTAATCTAATTTAGTTCGTTAATTTTGAAGTTCAAATAGATAATTTGAATCAAGAATTTCATTTGGTGAAATTATCATTCTCATATTCTAATTAAAAATATCTAGCAAAATTATTTTGATCATATTTTGTTTTGAAAATAACTCATATATCTTTGGTTGTCTTATATGGTATGAGATTTAGGCTTCTTTTGGGATATCAAAATTTTCAAATTTAAAAAATTTTTGTATTAAAAAGTTATTTTAGAAAGCATGAAGAAAGCTGTTCGAAAGTCTTAGATTGATCATCTAACCAACATATCAAAATAATGACACTTATATCTTTATTTTGTCATTGAGCCAATTTTAAAAGATCATAAGGAGTGGGATCAAATATATTAATGTGTTTGCATAATTTTTTCTCATGATAAATTATTAGAATTGAATTTACAAGGTAAAATAATTTTTACTTGTGAGTTGTATATCAAAAAGTTCAAATTATTAGTTGATGAGATATGTTTTTAGGATGTACTAATTATGAAATATTTGATACAATACTAATATAAAGTAATAATTGGTTCATTTGGTTGATCTTTTGTAGTTCATATAAAAAATTAGATCTTCACTCCTTTCAACCTTATTATTATTTTTTTTTTTATAAATAAGAATTAGCTTGAAATTGATTTGAGCTTGTTTGAAAAATTGTTTTTTTTTTTTAATTCTAATGCCTTAATTCCTTAAATTAAATTGATTTAGGCTTTATTTGAGACAGCTTTTTTATTGCTTCTTAAAAGTAGCTTGTTATTTAAAAATTTAATAATTTTGTATTAAAAAGCTTCTTTAAGAAATAATAAGGAAGCTATTATAAACAAAACATTAGTCAAATATGTGATGAGCTGAGTTTGGATAGCGAACAATTTAGTCTGTGTTCAACTTGTTCTAAATTTGTTAGTAGTTGTTGAAGAAAGTTGTTGTACCTCAAATAAGAAAATAAAAATATTTAGATGTTTTTTAAAGTTATCCAATTAAAATAAAATGAGTGTTACATATTTTTGTTTGAGAAGAGTTTTATTTGTCTAAATAATAAAAAGATGACATGGCTTAAGTTTTCTTAGAGGATAGTATCCACACTTGTCTAAATAAGAAGTTTATGTGAATCGAAATGTAATTTGGTTGATTTTTTAGCCTTATAGCCTGATTAGCTGAAATACAATCAGGCTATCAAATTAACAAGCGGAAGCATAATCGGTAGGGGTGTAAATATATGATGTTACCCAAAAATTCAATCCAGACACGTTCCAAAAATTTCTGGCTCGACTTGACCCGTTTGGCATATAGGTCAGGTTCGAATTTAGAAAGCTAATTGGGTTTTAGTTTCGGGTCGGTTCGGCTCAACCCAAAAATCCGATAATGACTCGAATACCACGGTTAATATTTAATAGAGGTATGGTCTATGGGCGGTTCGACGCTTGTGTTATCTTTGATTGAGCATATACTACTAATTGAACATATACGAATTGAGCAAATATAAATTGCCGCCATAGATTGTAATATTGAAATGAACCGATATTTTTTTGAGCTAATAGATTTTTTGGTGGGACAATCTGATCCTTGCAATTGAAATCATTTTTGAACTCGCATTTTTTAGAAATTTATGTATATATATTTTTTAGCTAATTAAACTTATATATATATAGCTGAAATTGCAGTTGAAGACAAATACATTCACCAAGAATTATG